TGTTGAAAAGATTTTACAGGAAAGGGAAAAAAATACTAGTTTTAAAAAGACAATACAGCATTTGTGTTACAGGAATTTGCCTACCGTGTTTCCCTGAAAATACAACCTGTCCTGAAACTAAAGCCTTGCCACATTTTTCGTGTAGGCAAAAATATAAGCTCACCCCCGAAAATAAACCCCCTGGACAACCCCCCTCTGGCCAGGCAGAGCACCGCTTACCGACATAGCGGTATTTTGAAGGCGCCAAGCCGCAGGAGCCGGGAGGGAGAAAGGTGCTCACCTTGCTTGCCGCCTTTGGGATACTGCTAGATTGGGGAGTGGCATTCTGCCTGGTCAGAGGAGGGAGTTGCCCAGCTCTCCCCGCCGCCGCCGCACTCCAAGCATAACATCTTCTCCAGTTCCAAACTCCCAAACTCAGCTGCCGAGTCTTCCAGCAGCCGCTGCTCTAGGAGTGCGCTCCATTGTTGTGGGCTGGCTGCTGGAAGACTCTGTAAAGAGAGTCTTCTGGACAGAGAGTTCTCTTCTGGAGAAGATGTTATGTTTGGAGCGCGGCAGCAGCTGCTGCAGGGAGAGCTGGGCCCAGACATGTTGAGGCTAGGAGACATGCCTGCTGGGGGTGGAACAGGCGCTTGTGCAACCCCCTTCTCCAGCCCAGCAGAGCTCCATGCACTGACCTAGGGGGTATCCCTAATGTGCCAAGCTGCGGGAGCTGGGGAGCGGGCAGAGCACCATGTGGCTTGGCACCTTAGGGATATCCCCTAGGTCAGTGACTGGAGCTCTGCCTGGCTGGAGAGGGGGTTTGCCGGGCGGTTGCTCGTAAGCTTGGTCACCTCATGGCTGCTTCGGCCCTGATGCTATGCCCGGCTCTTCGGGAGCCAGTTCGCAAGAGAGCAGCTGCCCAGCAACCCCAAAACAATAAGCCCTCCCCTATAATAAGCCCAAGGCCATACTTTGTAGGTAAAAAGAAAATAAGACCCTGTCATATTTTCAGGGAAATACAGTAGTAAGCTCCCATGAGCCGAATCTCACTAATTTCCTGAAATTAAATCAGCTTAAGTCCAGCTCTAAAATTTGCCTGTAAAAATCAGTTCAGGATATTAATAATAGGAATATGATTCATCTGTCCATTCATTAGACATGAGATCAAGAGAAGTCATTCTGAGAGAGATCCTGCTACATAAAAGTAGAAATCTTACTTTTTGTTTGTCCTGATTGACTTTGCTCTAATTTTACCATCAGTCTCTTACTACTGTTAAGCAGTGGTTGAACCATTTGCTATTCTGCAACTTTTGTTCAATACCTAACTATACCTTAGTTCCCTTCTTGGGACTATTCAGTATGTGTGGTCTAGGGACATTACAATGTTCATTTCAGAATCTTTGCCTGTATAATTAAATAATTTGTATTGAAATACATGTTTCTTGTACAGTATTATTTACCCATCTCTAATCCTAGCTCTTTTCCTTCGCCCTATTCCTAAAAACGAAGACATTCCTAGAGTAGAAAAGACTAAAAAACGTTTCTAGTATTTCTTGTTGCTTCCATATTTCTTTCTTGAGAAAACTTTTATCAGAAAACGGACTGAAGGATCAGGATGATCTGGGTTAATAAAGCACTCTGATTGAAAGGAAGCCATTACATTACACATCTGTGCCTCATTTTGTATATTACATAGGATAGAAGCAATTACGAAGACCTGACTTGCTGGGATATGAGAAGTGTTGTTGAGCTAATATTTGCCTCAATGCTTTTGTTGCCTTATACCGAAAGGTATATCATTCTGAAAAGGATAACCAGATGCCATAACATGAAACCTGCTCTGTTTACTTTCCAAGTTCACTGACCACATAGCTGTTGGACTAAAGGATGTTCTTGTATTCCAGTTTCCTAGCCTTCTAACTGGGATGTTCTTCAATGGCCTTAGGCTCATCCATGTCTTTAAAAATCTGTTTTAATGTTTAATGTTATATATCAATCTGTATCAATCTGTACGTTAATTGGGTGGGATTTATGGGGAGGGGATTTTTTTGACAATGGTAGACATAGCCTATGTAAAATTCATGCATACTTCCAGCATTAAAGGCTAGGTGATTGTGTTTTGTGTGCGTATTTTTTAAGATAAAAAAATAAAAAATAGGCTTGACTGGTTTCAAGCAGAACTGATACAATGCCTTTTTTATTATTCTTCCATGTATATTTTTTGGTGCGTGTGTGTGCGCGCGTGCGTGCATGCACATCTATGTGTTGGTTGCAATAACAAGACATAATTAGATAGTTGGGACGTGTTGCTATTTGTCATGAACATGATTTGCAGATATTCTAGAGGGTCTGGGATTACTTTTTTAGGGATGAAGTGATGCTCTTCAAATGGTTTGTTTAGAAAAAAAGACAATGTGAAATGGCTGCTGTGAAGAAGCCACAACATTCGAGCCTCCATCAAGAAAATTGTAGTTGGGGCCTTCTTAAAATTATCACAGAACAGTGTTGACTAAAAGAACAGTGTGGATACTTCAAATTAAGTGGCATGGAAAAGATGGGGTTTTTTTTTGCATTTGCAAATGATTCTACAGGTAGTGAATTTGGTTAAATTTTCAATAGGAAGTGCTGACAAACAATTTTGAAGATATAGTAGTTGGTTTGGAGAAAGATGAGGCATCTGTTGTTGTTTTTAGAGTTCACCACTATAGAATGAACTGCAAGCGAAAACACAACTGTCTATTGTAAAACATGCAAACATGTACAGTTTATGCCCCTGGAAGGATGGGTGGGGAAAATTAATTTCACAAGGCAAAACAGAGTCTTAAGAGTTATCCTTAAATTGAATAACGCTGGCACGTTCCCTACATTTCACCAGAGAATTCTAGTGACAACTCCTAAATTTTGAAGATGAGAAAGAAGAACAAGATAATTCTGATAAAGCACAAGGACAAAAGGCTTTAGGGTGCATGTGCAAAGGCTGTGGCAGTCAAAAATAAATTGGAAGATTTGGCAGGAACTAGGCCTCATTGGGGTGCAAGGGAGAGTCGGGCTCTTGCCAAACAACTCTTTTAAACTCTAGGACATGGTTTCTCAACTTCAGCACCTTTAAACTATGTAGACTTCAATTCCTAGAATTCCATAAGCAGCATAAATGTCCGAGTTTGAGAAATACTGCACTAAAAAAGTTCTGAGCAGAGTTCTCACAAGCATTAAACCCATGAAGGTGAATCACAGGGACAACAATGGAAAACTAGAGGTATGTATTGCTATTCCATTGTTTTATTTCCCTACCATTCTACCTGGAACAAATTGATGAACTACATTATAAAAGTCTGAATTGTATAGATTGAATGTTGTTCATACCAAGATTAATACTTTCTCATTAATCCACTAGAATTCCTTGAAAATATCCATTTTAAATAGTGCAAAGATGTTAATAAGTCATATAGGTCAAGGAACCGGTCATCTAACAGACTATGTATCGGTTAAAGTATAAGAAGTCCAGAGGAGGCTGAAAGGTTACTCCTTCAAAAAAATAAGTGCACTGGAGTATTAAATAGTGGTGCCACATAAGGATCTGTTGTGGTACTGATAGAGATCCTAAATGTTTTGCACACATCCCACTTGTTCTCAGGTGATGCTTACCTTTTTCTTCTTCCAAGGTGAAGAATTTTCTATTCAACAGCCTAGGGATAGGTTGTCTTTAATTTTCCTGTATAATTACCTTTAATTATTTTAAATTTTTTTTATTGCGCTTACACTGCTATTTATTGCTACAAACCTAGGATTTTTTTCTGGAAAGGGAGATTTCAAATCTGTTTATACAAAAGATCCAAATACATTTTTTTTACACAAGACTTGCTTAAGATACAGGGTTCAGGTTAAGCAGATGTTTGCTGCTAGCTTAAATGGTGCTCAGCAGAATTAGCCCATATGAATTAGCGAAATATGATCTAGGAGGTTGGGTTTTCATTCATCTCCATAATCCCAGATTGTAGCTTGCTGAGTATAACCATTATATAATAAAACTAGGCAACTTGTGATCCCTTGGATCATCATTTCAAAGATATTTCCTTAACAGAAAAACAGAATGACCAAACGCAAAAAAAAAAAGCAGCGGGAGTTCTGATTTCCACTTTGACCAGAACTGATTGCCCTCTAGCAGCCAATAGTGAAACTGGCTTGCAGGACCTCTGGAGGGTTAGAACAGGACCTGTCTACTGGAGCAGAAAGAAAAAAAAAAGTATAGAATAGGTGGTACCTTGCTCAACAGTAGTAACTGTGAGACAAATCTAATAAACCACCACTGAAGTATGAGCCAGTGGTGCTATACCTGTCCTCAAAAAAGTCAATACAATCCTAGGCTGCATCAACAGAGGGCTAACATCAACAATCACACAAAGTGATAATGCTGCTTTGTACTGCGCT